TCACAAACCTAGCAGAGATTTATATGAGGACCTCACTTTCTTTAACTTTCCTCAAACTAATGACTAGACATACTTTATTTTTCTCCTTTACTAAATTAGAGATTTAAATATTCGTGAGCTATTTAATTAAAAAGGGAGGCTTCAAATTTACTTTATCATGATTAGAGTTCATAGTTCTCCTTTGGAAATTTTCATGTACTAATTTATTTGTATATATATTTAAATTCATGTTTTCTACCGAAGCAAATGATTTATTAGTAAATGATCAATGCATGTGGCCCCGGACCGCTTTTTGTGGCATTTTTAGGGGAAGCATATTATGTTCAACAATAGACCTGTGATGGGCTATAATGATGATGGTGATGATGTAATGAAAACATTAATATGTTTACGCCCACCCTTGCTGGACCACAAAGGAGGTGCGACGCGCGGGCGCGGGAGGACAGCTGAGACGGACTGGCTGGCAAAAACTACCGCCGTGCATTATTATACTTAACGCGGCTATATCTACATCATTATTGTAACGAGGATTAATACAGTTTTGTCATAATTATATATATTTGTTGGAAGAAATTATAAGTATTCGTCATAAAGAAGAATTTTATTGAAGAGCGCCGAATTACCGAACATAATTTTGGTGACCCCCGACTATGATGTGGATGACGCAACAGGAAGGCGCCAGAAGTCCCGGAATAAGTGCATAGTGCCGGAATAAGTGGTAAACACGGACCCGAGGGAAGTACGCCCGTTCCTAGTAAATCTATTCATATCCTTGTCCATATAATTGTGCTCAATTTGTGTAAATATAGTTCGTTAATTCCGGTGCCATCGTTAGTTATACTTACCCACATAGTTCGTTGCATAAACAATAAATTGTACTTAATCTTCGTAAATAAGCAACAAGTAATATTTAAATAACTTCATTTTCATTCGAAAGTAAACAAAGGTCAACATTAATATCGTAAAATCATACAACTTAGTGTAAATCTTAATAAATAACTTGTAAACACAGTGTCTACAATCGATATTTTATATTCGTTAAATCATTGATTTCGCATTAGAATCATTTAAAATATTAATACAAACATATAGTTAAACATATCGGCTAACTATTCCAGGCATTTGTTGGGAGTAAGCGGGCGAGAAAGTAAGTGCTTTCTTCATCGACACGGCGGACCTGTTTCCTGCTACCGTACCGTGTTACACCGTGTCGCTGCGCCTGCGGCCGGCCGGTACAAAGGTCAGATCGGCGGCCAAGTGACCGGCGCATTGTTTACGAGGTTGGATTCACTTCATATTTTATTTACAAGTTAATACTTGTTTGCTAGTTATTTCGCCCACATTATGTCCGACTTAAAAGAACTAATAAAACAGAGGGGTAACATTCGCGGCCGAATAACAATATTCGAAAAGTATTTGACGCCATTAACGTTAATTAATACTGAGTCTGAGCGCAACAAATTAATAAATAATGAATTAAATTTGAGATTAACAAAATTACAAGAATTATCGTACAGTTTCGATGAAATTCAAAGCAAAATTGAACAATTAGATCCCGATATATCGAAACAGTTGGAAGAACGGGAGGTAACCGAAAACCAGTTCTTTTATTTGATTGCTCAAGCTCAAGAGTTTTTAGATGCATACACAGATAGTAAAAATAAACATAGGGATGATATTTCATGTCGTGGTAGTACTACATCTGTTACAAATCATAATATAAAACTGCCACCGTTGAAAATTCCTCCCTTTTATGGCGATTCAAATACTTGGCTTCAGTTTCGAGACATGTACTTGTCTTTGATACACAATAATGAAAAAATAGATGAAATCAGCAAGTTTCATTATTTAAAATCATATCTGGAGGGACCCGCTCTGTCAGTGATTAACTCTGTCACTGTTTCAGCCGATAACTATGAAATCGCTTGGGCGTTGCTCTGCGATAGATATAATAACAAGCGTCTTTTAATAAACGAGCATGTTAAATGTTTATTTTCGATTGAAGCGCTTCATAAGGAGTCCGACCGGGGCCTGCGCAACCTAGTCGATACAATTTCGAAAAACCTGAGTGCGTTAAGGGTGTTAGGCGAGCCGACTGATAGTTGGAGCACGCTTATTATTTATATTGGGTCATTGAAGTTGGATTCCGTGACCGCGAGAAGTTGGGAAGAGTTCCGTAGCAAATTGGAAACGCATAGTTTGGACGACTTCTTCGATTTTCTTCGTAAAAGGGCAACTGTATTAGAAACAGTCTACGCCGCTAAAGCTACAAATAATAATAAAACAGAAAATCGTCAAAACTTTGCGCGATCGAAATCGTTCATGTCTACTTCGCTCGATTCACCATTCCGTGGTCATTTTTTGGCATGTAAACAAGATCATAAGTTATATGACTGTCATAAATTTAAATCTATGTCAGTCGAAGAACGAAACGCCCATTGGGGGGAAATATTTAAAGAGTACAAAAAATAAAGTACACTGTCACTTCAGTCGAGACATACAACAACAGCTCGTCAAGTTCTGGGAACTTGAGGAGGTTCCTGTTAGCAAACCTTTCTCAAATAGCGAAGATTATTGTGAAAATCTTTACAAAGAGACCACTCACCGCGAAGCAAACGGTAAATTTTGCGTTCAAATACCTCTTTGCGATTCACCAGATGTTCTAGGCGACTCGTATAATATGGCTGAAAAGCGTCTACACCAAATGGAAAGAAAAATGAAAACTAAACCAGTTTTTAAACAAGAATATACTAAATTTATGCAAGAGTACGAGTAAGAGCGCTTAGGACATATGAGTGAAGTTAGTAAGCCAGAGCGTGGATACTACTTACCTCATCACGCTGTGATAAAGGATAGTAGCGAAACAACGCGTCTCAGGGTCGTTTTTGACGCGTCAGCTAAAACAACAACAGGTATCTCGTTCAACGATATTCAGCACGTGGGCCCGGTCGTCCAGGATGATTTGTTTTCAATCCTGGTACGATTTCGGCAATATAAATACGTTGTGACAGCTGACGTGGAAAAAATGTATCGACAGATTTTAATACAGCCTGAACAACGGCATCTCCAGATGATTTTATGGCGTGAGCATGAGGACGAACCGATTAAGATATTCCAACTCAATACGATCAGTTACGGAACCTCCTCGGCTCCCTTCTTAAGTACGAGATGTCTAGTTCAGCTAGCTGATGAATGTCACGACAATAGGATTGCTAATATCATAAGGAACGATTTTTACATCGATGACGTAATTACGGGAAGTAATTCGAAAGAGGATCTACGTTATATAATAAATTCTGTAACAGATACTCTTCATTCAGCACATTTGTCATTGCGGAAGTTTCGTACTAATGTGGCTTCAGTCCTCCAGGATAACTCGAACTCCCTGATACCCAAGGACTTAGATTTCAGTGCCCAGTCCAGTGCATTAGGACTTAAATGGGATCCAAGCACAGATACCTTCAATTTCCATGTCGACATAAAATTTTCATCAACAGCCACTAAGAGATCAATTTTGTCAAATTCAGCTCGATTATTTGATCCTCTCGGATTATTAAGTATATGTACCATAGTGCCTAAAATAATCCTTCAAAAACTGTGGATGTCTCAGGCAGATTGGGATGATCCTATTCCTGCAGATTTAGCTCAAAGATGGTTCAACTTCGTATCAGGGCTCAGGTGTTTGGTAGAACTTCCAAATACCTAGATTCGTCCTCGATAACGACCCTAACGCTATTGTTGAGATGCATACATTTTGTGATGCCTCACAAGATGCATATGCAGCTTGCGTCTACGTTCGTTCAATCAGTAGCTCAGGCAATATAACTATAAATCTACTGTGTGTTAAAACAAAGGTTTCTCCTATCCGAGCTCAAACCATTCCACGTCTTGAATTGTGTGGCGCCTTATTAGCGGCACGTCTGAGCTCGAAGGTACTAAAGGCATTAAGATTAACATTCACAAATATTTATTACTGGACAGACTCGTCTGTTGTGCTTGGGTGGATTCATACAGCATCACAGAATCTTAAAAATTTCGTGTCCAATCGTGTCTCAGAAATCCAAGAACTAACAGCAACTGGTTCCTGGAGGCACGTTCCAGGTATCCTAAACCCGGCCGATTTAGCGTCACGTGGTCTAAATCCCACCCAAGTACACGATGCCAGTTTATGGTGGCATGGACCTTCCCTTTTAGAGGATAGTCCATCGGCATGGCCAGAAGTTATAAAACCTACTCTCCATGTACCTGAAATTAAAACTTACACAACTAAGCCTAAACCTAATAAACTAACTACCAAAACTACAACATGCACTACAGTTACATCTAGCAGCACAACGACAAACACTTCTGATAAACTAGTGAACTTTGAGAATTACTCAAAATTCACGAGTTTACAGCGAAGCTTGACTTATGCTTTGCGGTTTATCTACAACATAAGACACTCTAAAGATAAAATTACAGGACACCTCACTACAGATGAAATTGAGAAGTCCTTGCATCATTTAATCAAACAACACCAGGAGGAGTGTTTCGAATGCGAACTTAATCTACTAAATAATAAAAAATGCTTACCTTCGAAATCACGACTTTTATCACTCAGACCATTCGTTGATGAGAAGGGCATTCTCCGAGTTGGTGGTCGTATTCAAAATTCACCTGAATTCTTTAGTAAAAAACATCCCATCATACTTGAATCAAAGATTTTGGCAACGCATCTGCGATTCCCCTGGTGTTGCAGTTGTTAATGGGCGGCGGTAGTCACTTACCATCAGGTGAGCCGCATGCTCGTTTGCCCGCTCTCCTATAAAATAAAATAAAATCAGTTTACAAAACTATTGTTTGTTCACGAACATAAGAAATTGTTCCACGGAGGTGCACAGCTTCTGCTGACTAACATCAGACAATTATTTTGGCCCATCGCGGGAAGGAGATTAGCTAGATCTACGGTTAATAATTGTAGAATATGTTGAATATTAAGGGCTAAAACTATAACACCAATAATGGGAAACTTACCATCAGCTCGCACGAATCCTAGCTTTGCGTTTGAAGTCGTGGGTGTCGACTTCGCTGGCCCATTTTTGACACGTGACCGAAAGGGACGTGGTTGCAAAATTATAAAAAGCTATTTATGTATATTCGTGTGTTTTACAACGAAAGCACTTCATTTAGAAATTGCATCAGACTTGAGTGCGGAGGCATTTATTATGTGTTTAAATCGCTTCATCTCTCGCAGAGGCAAACCTAGCGAGATCCATTGTGACAATGGACGAAATTTTGTGGGCGCAAATAATGAGTTCAAAAGATTTCTTGAATCATGTAGTGAATCAATCTCGTCATATGCTGCCGAAGAATTCATAAAATTCAAGTTCTCGCCCGCTTATTCTCCGCATTTCAACGGACTTAGTGAAGCCGGTGTTAAGGCAGCTAAGCACCATCTAATACGTATGGTAGGGAATACGCATTTAACTTTTGAGGAGTTAGCGACTTTATTTTCACAGATTGAGGCAATATTAAACTCCAGGCCCTTAACTCCCCTATCATCCGATCCGACAGACTTATACCCATTGTGTCCAGGGCACTTCCTGATCGGCAAGCCGCTCACTTCTCTACCATCTCCCGTACTAATCGATACAAACCCAAGATATCTGGCTAGATATGAACTCATCGATCAGATACGTCAGCAATTTTGGGAGAGATGGCGCACTGAATTTCTAAATGAGCTGCAGCAGCGATCAAAGTGGCGCATTAGTCAAGGACAAATTTCCGAAGGCGATATGGTGGTACTCAAGGAGCCCAATTTACCACCACTCAAATGGCGCATGGGACGCATCCATCGGCTGTATCCAGGGACCGATGGCGTTGCACGCGTAGCAGATGTCAACACTTCAAAGGGTGTCATCCGGCGTGCAGTTACAAACCTCTGTCCATTGCCCAACGAGCAATGACCAAGAAGATACCTCGAAATCCCACAGTCTTCGAGGGGGGGGGAAGATGTTTACGCCCACCCTTGCTGGACCACAAAGGAGGTGCGACGCGCGGGCGCGGGAGGACAGCTGAGACGGACTGGCTGGCAAAAACTACCGCCGTGCATTATTATACTTAACGCGGCTATATCTACATCATTATTGTAACGAGGATTAGTACAGTTTTGTCATAATTATATATATTTGTTGGAAGAAATTATAAGTATTCGTCATAAAGAAGAATTTTATTGAAGAGCGCCGAATTACCGAACAAATATGTTCAAGCAGCATTAGGTTTAAACATTAAATTTAAACAAACTTGCATGTTTTACACACCTAGTAATATGATAGATACAATAGATAGAAGAAAAAAAAATAGAATTTATATCAATTGTTTTTAGTATAAAGATACTAAAGAATAGTATTAATTTCTATCATTCATTTCGCCCATACTAGACGCTATGATATCTTTTTTTTAAAGTATAGGGTGACAAACGAGCACACAGTCCACCTGCTGGTAAGTGGTTGCAGTGACCCATAGACATCTACATCTATTCTCAACAAAGAATCAAAATGTAGATGCGACCCATAGACATCTACATCTATTCTCAACAAAGAATCAAAATCTAGAGGACTAAGAAGAAATGCTTCTTTTAAAATGGTAAAAAGAATCAGTAAAAAGTGTCTCCGGTTCTCTACACTCACCATACGAAACACAGCAGTGTTAAGCTGCTATTTTACGCTGGTATTCTGTGAGGGTTATAAACGTATCTATACGTATCTGTTGAACGTTATAGCTTTAGTCATAACGTAACGTATTAAAGCAATTCGAACATAACGACTATATTATCGGCAAACGGAGTACGAGTAATGTATTTTAATTACAATATCAATAGCGAATACATTACTCATCTTCCATTAATCCGTGATGTTCCAGTCTAGAATCTTTAAGACGTTCTTCAATGCAGTAGCGCAGAGTTTCGGTGACTCAACGTCACCCTGTCTGACAGCAGCCTATAGTTGGATAGGTTTTGTACTTTATTCTGTAGTGTTGAAGACTTCAAAATTAGGACAGGAAAATTAAAAAAAAAAACACTACAATAAATTAAAAAATTGTAAAATATTCGTTCAAGAATTATTTATAAGGTACAAAAAGTTTTTTGAAGTTTTAATAAAGACGAACAAAGGTCTCATGAACGTGGGCGTTTAAATTTGTGAGAGTACGAGTAAATTAGCTTTTTCTATTCAATTGGTTTAAAAGTACAATGAATATTTCAATATCACTTACTTCTCTTTAATAGGCTTAAATGATTTCATTTCACAAATTGGAATTACTATATATATTATACCTACTTATATTTGTACGAAGTACTTATTATTCTAAAATTCAACATTTTGGTACACGCGTTGCACATATTTACACTTATTGTAACGAAGCATATATTGTACTATTGATGTGCTGTTAGTTGGGTAAGTGCATTAAGCTGTATTTTGTTCTAGTGGCATGCTCGAAGTTTCTCTGCGTTAAAGAATTCGAAACAAGGATCAGGCCGTAGTGGGACCGAAACCGAGATAGCACAAGGGATTCATCATCATCATCATTACAGCCCTTCACAAGTCCACTGCTGAACATAGGCCTCCCCCAAGGAATGCACAAAGCACGGTCCTCAGCCATCTGCATCCATCGACTTCCTGCATATCTTACCAGGTCGTCACTCCATCTAGTGGGGGGACGCCCAACACTTCGCCTGCCGGTACGAGGCTGCCACTCGAGAACCTTTCTTCCCCATCAGTTGTCGGTTCTTCGAGCTATATGGCCGGCCCATTGCCACTTCAGCTTACTAATCCGTTGGGCTATGTCGGTCACTCTGGTTCTACTGCGGATATCTTCATTTCTGAGTTTATCACGCAGAGAAACTCCGAGCATAGCCCTCTCCATGGCTCACTGAGCGATTCCGAGCTTCCTCATCCGGCCAGCAGTGAAGGACCACGTCTCAGATCCGTATGTCATCACTGGCAACACGCACTGGTTGTAGAGTCTCGTATTCAAGTTTTGAGGTATACCTGACGAGAAGATGTGCCATAATTTCCCGAACGCTGCCCAACTGAGTTGAATCCGTCGATTGACCTCTCGGTCGAAGTTGGACTTACCTAGTCGGACAATTTGTCCCAGGTAAACATATTCGTCAACAACTTCGAGATTAGTGATCCCAACAACTACCGGCATAGGTGTGGCATGGACATTAAACATGATCTTTGTATTGTCCATGTTCATCTTAAGACCTAACGGTTGGGAAGCACTATTGAGGTCATTGAGCATAGTGCTTAGGTCCTCCAGCGATTCTGCCATAAGGACTATATCGTCGGCAAATCGAAGGTGAGTGATGTACTCGCCATTGATGTTGATACCGTATCCTTTTCAGTCCAGAAGCTTGAAAACGTCTTCCAATGCAGTGGTGAAGAGTTTCGGGGATATGACGTCACCCTGTCTTACACCTCTCTGCAATTGGATAGGTTTCGTACTTTGGTTCTGTACTCGGATAGCCATCGTAGCCCTACTGTACAAGAACTTCGGCACTTCGATATACCGACAGTCCACTTGGCACCGCTGAAGGGACTGCAGCACCGCCCGGACGGGCGACGGAATCAAAGGCTCTCTCATAGTCCACATACGCCAGACATAGTGGCAAATTGTACTCCTCTGACTTTTGTACAATTTGCCGAAGAGTATGTATGTGGTCTATGGTTCTAAAGCCTTTTCGGAAACCGGCTTGTTCGGGAGGCTGGAAGTCGTCAAGTCTGCGCGCGAGACGATTCGTAATGACTCTCGAAAACAGCACGTAGACGCGGCTTAGAAGGGAAATCGGTCTGTAGTTCTTTAAGAGAGCGCTGTCGTCTTGAAGAACAAAACCACTGCACTTCTGCTCCACGCCTCCGGTGTAATGCCACCATGGAGGACGGAATTAAAGAGCTTCTGAAGGACTTCAAGTATCGGTTTTCCACCCGCTTTCAGAAGCTCCGCTGTAATTCCATCCTCGCCTGGACCAGGGAACCCAAGGAGCCAGCAGCTGGACGACTTCATGGAGAAAGAGGGACTCTTTATGATGAACTCTTTCTTCCAGAAGCAGCCCCACAGGAAGTGGACCTGGTCGAGCCCCGACGCTTCGACAAAAATGAGATTGACTTCATTATGACGACCAGACGACAACTGTTCAGTGATGTCTCAGTGATCGCGAGGGTGAAAACCGGCAGCGATCACCAAATGGTTAGAGACATATTGAACCTAAACGTTAAGTTGGAGAGGTCTCGTCTAATGAAGTCAACGCTCCGTCCCCTTCGTGCTCTAATCCAAAGTTCCGAAACCTTTCAGCTCGAGTTACAAAACCGTTTTCAGTGCCTAGAAAACTGCAATGAAGTGGACGATATGAATGACAAGCTCGTGGAAATTGTCCATGCGGTCGGAGCTAAGTCCTGCAAGACCCGCCGCAGAAGAACACAAAAACTCTCCGATCATACTCTTAATCTCATGGCTGTTAGACGGCAGATGAAGCTACATTCTTCAACAGATTTGACAGCATACAGGCAACTGAACAGACAGATGTCCAAATGCATGCGGCGGGACTTACGCAACTTCAATACAGCTCGTATTGAAGAAGCGATCGAGCGGAACCAAGGCTCCAAAGTCTTTGCCAGAGATCTGTCTGCCAGAAAGATCTGACTGTCAAAGCTGAAGACAGAGTGTGGCAGCATCGTTTCCGGGGCACCTGAGATTTTGAGTGAGATTGAGAGGTTCTATGGGCAGCTGTACACGTCATCGTTGGAGCCACACGCGAGTGTAAGTAACGATCCAAGAGCTAGTCTTATCCGACATTATTCCGATGATATCCCGGACGTCAGTCTGAGCGAGATTAGAATGGCTCTCCAGCACAAGGAATTATTAAGCTGAAATTACAATAGGCCGGCCATATAACTCGAAGAACCGATAACTGATTGACAGCCAAGTACCGGTAAGTGTAAGGCTTTCCACTAGAAGGAATGACGATCCGGTAAGATATGCATGAAGTCGATGTCTCTATATAATGAGGGATGATTATGTCCAGCACTTAATTTATGAATGATTAGTGAACAGTGTGTTGATGCCCTCTAGGTTACGCTTCCCTTTCAAAAGTCTGTGGAGTTTAGGTTAAGCTTTTCTGAAAAACTTTACTGCCACGACACACGAGCCAGGGTGCACCGCGTAAAGATGAGGTGGATATTTGGAGATGAATCTGTCATATTCTTCCTAAGCCTCTTTTGAAATTTTTTTATATTTTGCCGTACTGTGGTTTTCTCTATGCGAAGGCATATACCAGAAGTGTTCATATATATTGAGTATACCTTAATCCCCAATGAAAATCAGGTGAAAATTTTAGGAGTTATTTTGGATAACAAAATGACAGGAATTCCTCATCTATCATATATTGCTTCCAAATGTGAAAAAAACCTCAATGTAATCCGATCCCTATCAGGTGCTTGGTGAGGTTCCCGCCCCTACTCCCAAAAAGCTTTTATACAATGCTCTAATAAGAAGTCATATTGGCTATGGCTGCTTTTTAATAGAGCCATGTAGCAAAATGGCCCTTAATACCTTGGACAAAATTCAATCAAAATGTCTACATATAATAACAGGTGCCATGAAATCTACTTCCATTTCCGCTCTTCAAGTTGAATGTATTGAGCCTCCTCTATTTCTACGCAGACAATATCTCTCGGATAGGTTTTTGTTCAAAGCTGCTTATTATTTACACCATTCTCTTCTCTCCAAACTTCGTTCCTTGTATCAGTCGGTCAGGGACTCTCCATATTGGTCCCACAAGAATTTGCCATGTATTATGAAAAGTTATATTAAATTAGTCAATGTTCACTCTCCTGTTTATCAATCCCGTAGTAATCCACTTTAAATATTCCATATGAGGCTCTAATTTTCAACCCAGACATTATTC